GGAAGTAGGATTGCCCAACCTTCCTTCCGAGGAGTGGCTGGTGGGTTTGAACCGCCAGCCTTCTGGTTAGCAGTCAAGTGCCTTAGCCACTACACTTAAAATTGTGAGTGTTCTCAATTTTTTATTTTCCATTTTCTTTTCCATTCCCACACCTCCCAAGAAAAAGTGTGTGGGGGGGAAGCTCCTATGTAAAGAGTAGAAGGATTTTTTTTTTTTTTTTTTTTTGCCTGCTCTAGACGTGTTATCTACCGTAGAGCTAGAAGACAATAGATTTGAATGATTAATTTAGCCTTATATTACTTGCAGGATAGTCACAGATACCATTTTGTGAATACATTTGAAAATATTAATAAATCACAGAGTTTGAGAGATTGGCATATAAGCTATAATTAAAATCTACTTTTAAAGTAGATTTAGAGCTTGCTGCTTTAATGGAGAATTTAATTTAGTGTTTTGAAGGAGTCAAAATAAAATCAATTTCATTGTTTAAGAAACACAGTTTAAGATAAAGTATATTGCTTATTAAAGAGTGCTGTATCAGTTAAGTGAGTATTGTCTTCTAAAATTTCATTTGAGGATGGAGAGGGTCAAATGAACAATTAAGAATGTAAAATTAAACTGATTCAGTAATTCTATTTGCTCAATATGGAGATTGTATCGTTAAAAGCAAGCCATGGTCTCGGCTCTCATATAGCTTATGAACTTGTCTGTTTAACAACTGTATAAAATATTTTTAATAGTTTTTGTGCCATAGAATATATTATGCTCTGAAATGTGTAGATACTGATTATCTAGAAAAGTTTTATTCAAATTTTATTAACAGTTTCACGAACAAGTTGACTGCAGCAAACAATGCAACGAACTGCTGTCGAGTCGGATCTGACTCATAGCGACCCCTGCTTGGGGTCGAGGCATGCCACAGGGTTTATCTAAATAATAGCCAGTTACTCTATACACTGATTCTTCAAGGAAAACTGGAGGTAAATGTTAATTTATATTTTCAGAAAGTGTGGATTTATAGTTAGAAGTCTTTTAAGCATTTGTATGTTGAAACTTGATAGCCTGGATTTATTCATATGATTTCCAAGGCAGTATCACTATGGAAGTAGATTGTCCATCCTTCCTTCTGTGGAGTGGCTGGTGGGTTTGAACTGCCAGGCTTCTGGTTAGCAGTCAGGTGCCTTAGGCACTATGCCACCGGAGCTCCTAAGGTGACTACAGTTTGATTTATTTTATTCAAGGGCCCCTGCCTTGAACCAAGGGGCCATGCTAGAGTTAAGTTTATGTGAATCTTTTTCACCACTTTAGTGAAGCTTTGCTTACTTTTATACAGCTCACAAGGAGCTCTGGTAGCATAGTGCCTACGGCATTTGATTGCTCACCAGAAGACTGGCATGAACCCACCAGCCACTCCTCGGAAGGAAGGTTGGGCAATCTACTTCCTCAGTGATACTGCCTCGGCAACCCAAGGAGGGGTTGCTATGAGTCAGGTCCGACTCGAAGGCACATAACAACAACAACAACAACAACAACGTACAGCTCACAAGATGGGAGTAAGCAGTAAGACACTGCTATTCTGAGTCCAGGTCTAACGAGAAAGGAATAGTGAGTAACATTACTTGTGTTGAGTTAGTTATATTGAACAGTTTATTAGGAAAAGTCTCCAGGCCATTTTATAGTCATCATGGAAAAGAGGAGAGCTGGGGCATGGTTATGGCTATAATTTGCCCTTGAGGAATGCCTTAGGCTCTATGCCACCAGAGCTTCTTTGAGGAAAACAGATTTAAAAAAATTTATAGCATCTGTAGGTATAGTTCCAAGATTAGACATTTCTAAAAGAAATGTCATGCCAGGAAACTCTTGTGGATGCACACAAAGCTCTGAGCAGCTCGTTTATTAAAGGATGTGTATGATTGACAGATGGAAGGCACATACAGTCATCACCCAGTGCTAAGGGTTGTTGCCATCGAGTCAATTCCAACCCAGAGTGACCCCCATGTGACTGAGTAGAACTGTCCCATAGAGTTTTCTAGAGTTTTCAGAGTAATCTCTATAGGAGCAGGTTGCCAGGTCTTTTCTCCCACAGAGCTGCAAAGCCACTGGGTGAATCTGAACTACCAACCAAGCTTTCGGTTGCTGCTGAGTGGGTAGTCATTGCACCAGCAGGACTCGGTGTCCTATGTATAACAAAACGCTGCCTGATCCTGTACCATCTTCGTGATCGTTGGTTTGTTTGAGTCTGTTGTTATGGCTATTGTGTTGTACTTTCCAACCTAGAGAGCTTATCTTCTGGCATTGTATTGGGCAATATTTTGTTGTGATCCGTAAAGTTTTCATTGTGTAATTTTCAGAAGTAGATTACCAGGTCTTTCTTCCTTGTCTGTCTTAGACTGACAGATTTAAACCTGTCCATTATGGGTGATCCTGCTGGTATTTGAAATACCAGTGGGGTAGCTTCCAGCAGCCCGCAAGCCACCACAATACGACAAACTGACAGGTGGTGGTCAGTGCTAAGAAGACTTTAAGAAATAAACATTTAAGAATTTTGTTTTCAATAAGCCAGAGTTCAGAAGGAGCCAAGGCTCATCAAAGTGCAAAAAAGAAGGAAAAGGTAGCCTCACTCTCTGAAAAAGATGTTCTTTGTGTAAACTGTTTACAGAGAGACTAGGCCTACATGGTTCTTATTTTGCTTCCATAATCTTCAACTAAGATACTTATTTTTCTAATAATAAAAGGTAAAACAAATAACCTGAAATGGAAGGACAAGGGAATTAAATCCTTAAAAGATGAGAAGATAGTAAGAGTATCATTCACTTTAAATGCATGTAAGTTTTCAAGACTCAAATGAATTGCCTCCTGGGAGTTGAAGGTATGCACCCAGATATTATCTCAGGGCTGTTGTTGTCAGTAATCTCTGTGAAATCATGGAGAATGTGGGAAGCGCCAGGAGGCTGGAGAGAGACAAATGTCTCAGTTTCCAAAAGGGAGAAAGGTAGGTTGTGAAAACACAAGGTCATTTCACTAACTTTAAACTGTGGCAACACTTGCAAAAATTATTAAATATATAAGTATATATACAGAGAGAGAGAGAGAAATTGAGTAATTAAGGAAAAATGGGGTGATCACCATGAATCAATTTGAATTTATAAGAAGAAGATCTAACAAACTGGACCTCATTTCTTTCTCTCTCTTTTTAGTCATTACTACTGAATTAGAGCATAGGAGAGGCATGCTGTATCTTGACTTTACCAAGTATTTGACAAAGACTCTTAACATTATCTGTGTGGAAAAGATGATGAAATGTTGGCAATTAGATGGATTTACAGCTGGTTTTAGGACCACACCCACTGTGACCACACCTATGGAGGCATGCCACAGGGTTTATCTAAATAATAGCCAGTTACTCTGTACACTGATTCTTCAAGGAAACTGGAGGTAAATGTTAATTTATATTTTCAGAAAGTGTGGATTTATAGTTAGAAGTCTTTTAGCCATTTGTATGTTGAAACTTGAAAGCCTGATTTATTCATATGATTGAGGATTAAGTTACAGACTTTTTCCTACCTGAGCTCCAGTTGTAAGATACATAGATCAATTTTAATTTGAGACCCCTAGTATTCCTCTATTTTGTTTCCATTTCCCCCCACAAATAAGAGAAAGTCTTTCACTCTCCTATTTATTCACATTGTATCTAAGAGTCAGACAAGTAAGCAGAAAATGCCTGTTCACATTCACAATAGGCAGAAGGCCCTGAAGTAGGGCTTAATGTGGCCTTTTTGGGAGATCAGAAAGATGGCCAGTGTTGGTGGAGTATAATTTGAGAGAAAGAATAGTGAATAAACTTGGATCAGAGATAGCCTGAGCCAGAACATGTAGGAAGGGCCTTTTAGGCCCTGATCAGGAATTTGGATTTCACTCCAACTGTAATGAAAGGTCACTGGAGAGCTTTGAACGGAGTAGTGATGGTCTAAGTTATATTTTAAATCTCATTCTAGCTGCTGTATGAATGGTGGGATCAGGAGGGAGGAAAGAATAGATTCCGAGAATTTGATTAGAAGGCTATTTCAGAATTCCAGAAGGGAAGTGATGATGATGGCTTAGAGTAGGGTAGCTGCATGGAAGTGAACAGAAAAGACTGTTTGGGGGTAGAAGTGATAAACATTATTAATGGATTTGATTTGTGAGATAGAAGTAAAAACCAAAATCAATGATGATTTCTAAGTTTTGGGATTGTCTTTTGGGTAGATGGTGCTGTTATTTACTAAAATGTGGAAAACTGGGAGACGGAAGACATTGAGGAAGGATGGAATTAAGAGTTCTGTTTTTGGCTATCTGAAGTTTAAAGTGTTTTTCCAAATATATCTATAATATATATGAATGAGTTTATTAGTTTGGACCTTAATAGAACAAGGCCAAGAAGGAAACATGATGTGAATTTGGAAATTATCAGTAAATAGATGGTATTTAAGGCATGGGACTGAATGTAATTACCTTGGATTTTAGTCATATTCTTTGACCTATCCCTTCTTCCTCCCCTACCGTGTAAAAACATGCTCTCTTTATGTTGTTGGTACATATTTTAATTACAATGCATATAATAACTTGTGTTAATTATCTTTTTAGTAAAAACTTTGGTTTCTTTTTCCTGTGTATAGCACAATGGTTTAAGGTGTTTAATCACTTGCTTCTGTATTTAACTAGAGATCTAACAGTAATGTGTTTTGTTTCTGCTTTTGTAGGCAAAGTCATTAATAAAGATTTGCGACATTACCTGAGTCTTCAGTTTCAGAAAGGATCCATTGACCATAAACTGCAACAAGTGATCAGAGATAATCTCTACTTGAGAACCATTCCATGTAAGTGTGATGGAGTAAAAGAAATGATGCAGAAATAGCCTTGCTTAATTCATCAAGCATCTAGAAATAATTCAATAGAGTGTGTATCTTACATGAAATTGTAAAGACCAAGTTGGGGGTTAGGATGAAACAAAAATTGAATAAGGAAATGAATTCTCAGAAGACTTCAGGAATTTTTTTTCATAACAAAATATTTTACATTGTGACTTAAAAAAGTGATCACTAGAATTTAAGAATAAATATTCACATGTTGATGACTACTAGACTTTATTCATATAAATCAATTCTTAAAACCTATGCATAAGAAAAAAATTGCTTTTAATGTCTTGTATATTGAGAAGAAATTTTTTGTATTACTTATTAAAACATTACTAGTCTTAAAATCGATCCCCTTACAAAAAAAAGAAAAGACAAGGAAGAAGACATAGTGCTTTCTTTGTGGTAATTCATCTTGAATTTTTATCTAGATGTTGATGAATCTATTCTAGTCTTAGTTTTCAGAGGACCTGGTTGTTGTGTAATGATTTTTTGTTTCTTTTTAAACACTCTACTGTCCTAGTTTTAAAATTTCTTCTCAGTGTGAGATTTTTGTCCTAGAAAGGATCTTCAGTTTGTTTGGTTTCAAGACATAGGATTCAAAGCCCTTTGAGATCTTGATAAGTCATTTTAACAGTCACAAATTGAAGTGTCCAAAATCTTCACCAGGAGCCTAGAAGCAATGAACTATCAGTAGCAGTTAGCCCACTTAGTGGTCATATCTTGTCTTTCTCTGTTTTTTTTCATAAAATACACCAGACCTTCTTGGAAAAAGTTACGATTTCAGGTCTAGGGGAAATATAAGATGAACTTGGAATATCTAATTGCATTAGAAAGTAAGAAAATGTATTAAAAATTATGAGAACATGTCAGAGGATACATGAGCTAGCTAGAAGGGGTATCCCTGGAGAAAATCTGAAACAATTTGAGAAAAAAAATTAAAAAAAAAGAAAGAGACTCCTATTGTTTTCAGACGTTATGCCACAGGTATAAAAGTACTATGATCCCTGAGAGAAGGGTAAAGGGACTACAGACAAAGAAGTCCTGTGATTTCTTCAACTCTGATTGGAGGCACTTATACGACCTAAGCTCAGGGAGAGAGCCAAGGCAGTTAAAGGGACAGAAATCTAAATTCAGGAAATCTGAGGTATCTGGAATTTGCAGAACAGAGTGTCAGGACAGGAGGGAATTATAAAGAAAAAGAGCTCAAGCAATCTGCACAGGTATCTCCTTGAATACCAAGTTGACATTACCTGAGTCTTTAGTTTGAGACTTCAAATGGAGATGTATATGATGAAAGTCCATGAAGCCAGGCACAGAACTGCCTTAGAGCTATAAGTTTAAGCTTACAGTTTACACAGGATGGGAGACATTTGAGTTATAAGCAGCCTGAGTGGAGATATCTCATAAGGGTCAACTTTAGTAGAAGGGATAAAATAACCACAAGTTAAACTCCTCTGGGTTTGTTTTAACAAAGTTTAATTAAGCAAACTCCCTAAGTATTAAGCTGATAGGAATGTAACTTAACTGCTAGCAAGAAAAACAAAACAAAACAAAAAAAAACCCATATTCTTTAAAGGAAGACAACAAAATCCTGACACTAAATAACATATAGTCACAATGTTCAGCATCTAATTAAAAAATCTATTAGACATGCAAAAGAGAAAAAGAAAACAGAGACCCATAACCCAAAGAACAGTCAGCTAATAGGGGTGGGGGCAGAAATTATGCAAAATGATGGTATTATCATACCAGGAATTTAAGAGTTATTGTAAATATGGGACTTCCAGCAAGATGGCATAATAGGCAGACAAGCTACACGGACCCTCTGTAACAAAGAAATGAAAAACCAATTGAAACGGATACAGAAGACAATCCTGGAACCCTGAGCTTTGAAGGGAAAGATAAAGAAGTGGGTTAAATATCTGCTAGTAGAAGATCCTGGATGAAAACAGTGAATAAGGAGACAAACGGAGCTGCATTGTGCTGGCTGTCCTGAGGGCACAGCCATTTTAAATACTTGCAAGCTGCAAATATCTGCTTGCCAAGGACTGCATGGACAAGGACTGCACTGGTGCCTTACAACTAGAAAAGAAAACAGCAGAGGAGACAAACAGAGCTGGGAACTGCCGGCTGTCCTGAGAGTGCAGCCATTTTAAATATATACAAGCAGTATGATCATTTTGAACATATGCAAGTGGTGTTCTGACCTGCCCAGTGTCTTAGGAGCTTGCTGAGGACAGCATGGGCAACTGCACTGGAGGCTGAAGACTAGAGAGGTGTGGTATTCCCCTTGTTACTCATACACCCCACACCCTTTTGGTGAACAGAAGTGTGGTCATGCCCCTATGCTACTCACTTTACTGACCAGAAGGAATTCCATCCCTCTCTGTGCCCTGACAGAGCCTGGGTGCCCTTCCCCACCCACCCCCCCTTACAGTTTTGTTTTTGCTTTAAAATAATTCTTTTTTTCTTCCTACTTTTCTCTCCCTTCTCTGGTTCTTGGTTTTCTTCCCCCCTTCCCCCCCTTCCCTTTACCTTGGAGCTCTGGTGGCGTAGTGCCTAGACTGTTATTTGACTGCTAATCAGAAGACTGGTGGTTCAAACCCACCAGCCACTCTTCAGAATGAAGATAGGACAACCTACTTCCATAGTGAGACTGCCTTGGAAACCCAAGGAGGGGTCGTTATGAGTCAGATCTGACTTTGGTGGCAGTGAGTTTGGTTTTTTTTTTTTTGGTTTGTTCCCCTTTTCCTGGTTCCTTTTCTTTTCTTTTCTTATTTTGGTCTTCTCAACCCTTGTTTTTCCTTTTGCAGTTTTTATATTTTTTCTTTACTATTCTTTGACTCTTGCTCTTTTCTCTAATTCCCCCCTCCACAGATGTTTTGGGGATTTCTTTCTCTTTTTCTCATTACCTTTCTTTTGTCTTTTAAAATTTTTTCTTCTCATTTATTGCCTTGCCTTTCTTTTTTTGCCATTGTTCGTGTTTGTTTATACAGTTTGTGTTTTTTGTTCTCACACTTGGTATTTTCATTTACTTATTTAATCTAACTGAGTAGAAAATAGCAACTGTTTCCACACAACCCAACCATACCTGCACCTCCTGCAGCCCCCTCCAACTGAGTGAGGGCAACCACTTGCTCCAGCACCAACTGACCATCAATAAATGATGGCCAATACCAGTTCAACTCACCCTCCCCTGCTCTTCATAAACAGCTAACAGAGATCTGTGCACACACTCTTTTATTCTCTATCACACCAACTAGGACATGGGTTTTGAGTGCCTAAGTGCTGTGAACTAGTGAATAGAGGAGCACAGTTGCCTGCCTACACAGATATACAAAACAAAGGGGGAAAAAATCTTGGGTAAATCATACCAACATACAATCCCCAATTAAATTATAAATACAATGCTGTCACAATGCTTAGGGGCAACAGACCACCACAGTCTACACAGAGAAAAAGAAGCAAGATAAAGTAGTAGAAACAAGGGACCAGAATACAAACCCAAGAACATACATGAGGAAGAAGCAGCATTGAAACTCCTTGATGAGGAATTCAAAAGAAATATATTTAGGTATCTTCAACAGATTGAGAGACAGATCAAGGAAAACATTGACAAAATCAAGGAAAACACAGACAAAACTCTAGAACAATTTAGGAAAATAGGACAGGAACAAACTGACAAAATAAATGAAAAATTAGAAATGACACAAAAACAACAAATCGAAATCTAGAAGGTTAATACTAAGATTTCAGAAACAGATAACACATTGAATGGCCAAAGGAGTAGAATAGTGTCAATGGAAGACAGAATTAATGAGATTGAAAACAAATACCTCAGTACTACTTTGTTAAGAGATGAATCAGAAAAAAGACCAAAACGAAAAGAAGAAAGCCTAAAATTCATGTGAGATACCAACAAGAAGAATAACCTATGTGAAATCAGAACTCCAGAACAGAAAGAGACAAATAAAACCACTGAGAAAATTGTTGAAGATTTGTTGGAGGAGAATTTCCCTAATATGATGAAAGACAAGAAGATATCCATTCAAGATTCAACGAACACCAAACAGAATAAACCCCAAAAGAAAGTCACTGTGATACATCATAATCAAACTCACCAAAACCAAAGACAAAGGATCCTGAAAGCGGCATGGGAAAAACAAAAAGTTACCTACAAAGGGCAACCAATAAGATTAAGCTCTGATTTCTCAGTAGAAACCATGTGGGTGAGAAGGCAATGGGATGATATATGTAAAACCTTGAAAGTAAAAAATTTCCAACCAAGAATTATATACCCAGCAAAACTATCCCTCAGATTTGATGAGGAAATTAAGACATTTCCAGATAAACAGAAATTAAGGGAATTTGTTAAAAGCAGACCAACCATACAAGAGGTTCTAAAGACAGTCTTTCAGACAGACAACCAACAACAGCAGACAACAACGTATGATTAATACACTTGACGACAACACAGAAACCAACCCAGTTATAGAAGTATCCAAAATAAAATTAACTTTCAAGGCTGTACACAGGAAAACAGAGACATCAATTGGTAAATGAGGACAACTAAAACCAAAAAGGGGGAATTCATACTGTAAGTACAGAACTTCCAAATGGTAAGGAAGTCAAGACAATTGAGAGAGAGAACAGACTGTTCTAAACTTGAGGACAAAACTATTAATCACAGGTTAACCATGAAGAAAAATGACAAACCTTTGCATCAAAACAAAAAAGTGTAGAGGCAAAAATGTTTGGGAAATACTAAAACAATAGCAACAAAGAAATGATAACAAAATTCATAAACAAGATAAGCTCAGCACAAAAAATTATATGGAACAAAGAAATCAGCAACACTACAAAAAAACATATAACAAAATGACATCAATATATTTGTACTTGCCTATAATTACACTGAATACAAATGGATTAAATGCATCACTCAAACGACAGAGAGTTGC